AGCAGCCTTTTTGTGTTGTTATTTTCTAAATTTAGGATTTAAGGTTTTTCCTGGGTTTTTTCAATAAGCAGCAATGCATGGATGTTTCTGACTTCAAGCATTTGGTTACTCTGGAAATTCCTGTCTGGCATGACGATGGTTCTCACCTAGCACCATCTGCCTCTAACTCAGAACTTTATCAACAATTGGAGAAAATCATGCTGATTATTGATGCACAGTTTAGCTGTGGTAAAGACACAACGTTCAGATTTGGAAGAGAATAAAGAAGAGAGGCTGGTGTTAATTGAAAGTCTCCCATGTAATACCATTACAGGTGCTTTTCTTTGTTCTGCCATGACCTTTTCGTTAAATTTTTGGATGTTTTTGACATGCTGAAATCCAAACTTAGGCTGAAAATTTTGATCTTCTTTTATCATGTTGCTGTGTACACATCATGGTACATTGCTATAAACAGTGCAGTTTCATCAGCCCTATCTGGTCAGAATATCTGTATTATAGCATGTTAAAAAGACAGAAAGGTTGCAGACTTCAGGCAAGATTCCTGTTCTCTATTCATGTAAACTTGAGAGAATTTATTAAAAATAAAGCAGAACATTAAGCACATATTCTTAAAACAGGCAACTCCAATAATTAATGTTGGGCAACTTCTGATGCTGGTTTTTAATGAACCTTAGAATAGTTTTTACAGACTAAATAATGCTACAGTGCCAGTTTTTGAAGTGTGAAAAAGTAAAATGTGTCAAAGATGTGAGGAAATCCTGTCCAAATGTGTGTGGTCTAGACAGCTTGAGATCAGCTCTGAACCTTGTATTAGAAAATCTGTTGAAAGAAACAGCTAGAAGAAAATAAGAAGCCTGGAAGATTAATTGTTAATGACAAAGTACAGAATAGGTTTTATCAAATGAATATGGGAGGAGATTGCAAATGTTTAGCTGATTAAGGAAACAATGGCTATGCTTCAGCATACTTAAACCTTTTTAATTTCATTGCATTCTGATTTTAAATATGTTTTACAATACCTCCAGATTGTATGTTAAGGGGTTATGAATTACTGCTGAATCATTTTTGTGGCATTATCACTGAACAGCTGCATCAAGTAAGATTTTACTCCTGTTTAACAATTTCTTCAACAGCCCAGAAGAAAATTAAAAAATACTCTGAAGTAGAACTGGTAAGAAAAGAAGTAAACAATGAAGAGGAGAGATAAACGTGAATTGTTTGGCAAGCAGGTCATATCCAAAAATGTTACTGTTAAATTCCACATCTTGTGAAGAAAGAATCCAAGGTACACTTACAGGAGGAAAGATTATGCTGGAAACACAAGATCCTAAAAATGATCCAGGCATCAAGGTAGATTATAACTGTATATGTCTTCTACACTGTTTTGTGAGGAATTAGCTAATCTGAGTTTGGATGTGTAGGTAAAACTAATAATGGATTGGAAAATGGTGTTACGTCCAGATACAGTGAGACCAGAAGTGAGCAGCTGCATAATTTGTTAGCATCGTCATTTCAAAAGGATATTGGAAAAATCAGAAAAACTCAGAAAAAAAGCCCTTGCCCCAATTATTTGATTCCTAAAGTCAAGATCTATTACTGTGAGGTTTAAGGAAGTTTTATTTTGGCGTGTTTAATAGAAAGGGGGGAAATGGAGAAATTAGTGGATTTGTGTCAGGTCACACAAAAATATACCATTTCAAGGGGCTCATCAGTATCTGGGGAAAAAGTGACAAAAAATTTAAGAACTGGAACTTGAAATCAGAGTAATTAAAGTGAGTTACCCAGTTGATGATAGTAATAAACCCCTGGAACATGTCTTTATTGGAATGATGACATTCCCACACTGGTAATAGTAGGACTACATGTAAATATACACATTAATGAATGTTGTTATCCCACATGTTTCTCCAGAATTCAGTTCTTTCTCAGAGGTGTCACAGGATCCTGAAAAAGGGAATTTTCAGCCCAATTTCTGATCTTAATAAGTTTGGTGCATCCATAGTTATCACTCTGGTAAAAAAAAAAAAATTAGAAGTGAAAAGTCTTCATTCCCCGTGAGAAGAGTCTTTCAAATCAAATTGAAGAAAAGGGCACCTGTTCTTTCATGCACATATTTATTTCACTTTAAACAAAACAATCTTTTTTGAGCTTGAGATTTTGTGCCTGAAAGAAATGAAGCTCGTGAAGGGAGCTTAGGTGCACAGCAGAAAATATTTTCTGCAAGCATTATTGATGTAGCTGTTACTTTACATCCAATTACTGAAAGTAGCACATGGTTAGACAGCTTTATTTGTTGCAGAATCAATTTCTGCTTGACTTTTATTACAGGTAAGAGATGAAAAACAGCTCTGTGAAATGGTGGGAGGAATTCCCAAGTGCAATAGCAATGACATCATATGAGACCATTAAGCAAAGACTCAATTATTAATATCTAGTACTTGGCAATTCTGAAAGATAGAGGAGCGTTTGAACTTGTAGTCTCGTAGCCATAGCACAAAGTCCTTTAAGCTTCAAGGTGCTTGTATTCAGTGTATTTCTCCACTGTTATTTTAGTAACAGACATTAGGACTTTACACTTCAGTAATTTACCACTGCCATGAATGTTGATAAGAGGGAGGTGTGGAAAGTGCATCTCAGAGCAACTGTTGTGTTTCTGTTCTCTTCACACTGATCTTCAGGAGTTTTAACACCTTTAGCGGATAAGTCTGGAAACCAAAAAATACTGGATATAAAAATTCATGGTGTTAATGTATTACTTTCATGGCCTATTTTGCATTCCCTGTGCCTTTTCTTCTGGCTAGCCTTGCTGTTACACAGTTGGTAGGAAAAAAGGGCAGAGCCTGGCACTGTGCAGAGCCACTGTGTGGTCTCTGATACTGCCTTCCTGGCCCCTCCACTGCTCCAGAGGCCTGGACTAACACCCACCCCCATCCTAGTTGATCTAAACTCAGGAATTTGCATTTGCTTGCAATTCATTCTTAAATATGCTGCTTCAGATTCTCATGTAGCTTGATGGGTTTTTTTCCCTGTTCGTGTGGTGTGGTCTAATCAAATACTGCTACTGAATATATGTATAATAGGTGTATATGATTATACCTAGGTATACATATATATATATATATTTATATATGTTCTTGAATGTGTGTTTATCTCTCTCTCTCAAGGAATTGTATTCTTGGAGTGAAAGTGCTCGAAAGACTGATAAACGTGTCTGGTTTCAAATTTGAAAACAAAGCTTTTAAATCAATTCCTTAACACACTTTGTGCTAATGTTAGCTCCTGCATAGTAATAATTATTGCCATGTGTATACAACTGTTAGTCTGTAAGGCTTGTCAGTCTCTGACACTAAATTAATTAACTGTGACTACACAGCACTTTGCAGCTGCTGCTGTACAGCTGGCACTGGTGGCTGGGGTCCTCTCAGTCTCCAGGGTGAAGGTGATGAAGCTAGAGAGCTCTTAGACAGAGGAGATGTCTCTCTTCATTTCTCCCCTCTCATTGCTGACATTTCCTGCTTCTTGGCCTCCCTCCCCTGGATTCAGTCGCTTTTTAGCTTGTTTAACTTTTGCCAGTCACGCTGCTTCTGCTTTGGGCAGGATGCCCTGCCTGTTTTTCATCCCATGTGCTTATTTTGGTCTGTATCTTGTAACTTTTGTCATTTGTATGCCTCCAAAGTGCTGCTGTGCTCACTAGATGACTCACTTGTACGTAGTGTTGAGTTGTGCCATGCAGTTATTAGTATTGAAAACTATTTGCTTGATGGGCATTCTGCTATTTAAGTGTGCTTGCATTTGGGGTTTGGGCAGACTAATATTAACTACACTTTTCTGCTTCAGCTACACTAGCCACAAGCCTTGCTCTTTGCTGTTACTATTTCTGATTTCAGTAAAGAAAGAGGATAATCTCAGATGGCTAGAAGTTCAAGCAGCATTTAAATTCAGGATGGCAATCTTTGCACATAGAGAATCAGATTTGGTGGATCTTTTTTTCATGTCAGTACAGGAGTGCTTCCCTTTATCCCATCACAGGTCTTTCTGTGAAGCTCTGGTCTAGGCTGTTGTTCTGAAGCTGTAGCTTTGCAGGCACGCAATCCATAGGGAATTTGTTCAGCATATTCCTGTGCTGTGGTTGTAGGGCTGACTGGAATGTGAACTTGTGCTGCTGCATTGCCCAGCTCAGTGCAAGCTGTAGATACTAAATACAGTCAAGCAGAGAATCTAGAGCACCAAGGGAAGAGTTCTTGGTTTTCTTGGAAATATTTAAATGTTCTGTTTGTAAACAACATTTAACCAAACTTGAACTGAGTTACTGTTTTATTATGAAAAGTATTTTATTGTTTTCCGTGTTATTTTGGAAAGATGCACCTGTGTTCCAAAAAGAATATAAAATTGATTTTCATTGTCTCTTAGAAGAAAGGCAAATTTATTGTAAAATTCACTGTAAAAATTGAAACAGAAAAGGCCAGGGGAAAAAAAAATGTTTTATATTAGGAAGCATTTTCTTAGTGGTTTTGAAATGTAGATTTTTTCTAAGAAAGGCTCAAATATCATTTGTGGATTTGAAGATTAAATATTCCCCCCTTCCAACTGGATTCTGTCTACAAGCTGTCTGGCTGCATGTTGCTGTCATACAGGAGGTGATCTTTTACATTTTCTCACTTTCTGAAATGTCCAAGCAGTGAAAGTGTAAAGTCATTTCTGCTCTTGAAGATGTTTTTTTTTTGTGTGTGTATGCAGTGTTTATTCTCTGGCTGGAACATCCTGGACTTCAGGTAACATTAATATCCTATACAGACACAACAATCCTGTCTCTTTGTATTACATGTGATTCAGTCAGACTTCTCAAAGTTTAGATTCACTTAAAGATTTAGTGTTATTTCAGCATCTTTCAGATTACTCCAAGTAACCCAAAACTCATCATTGCAATACGGGGCTATTCTGCTGGGTAAAACAAATAAAACCATCACAAAAACAGCAAACACAACAACAAAACACCAAACAAATAAAAACCCCAAACAAATTACAACCTCTAGTTAAATGACCCGTTTCTTGGATGTAGCTGGATGTTACAGTCGTACCAGTCATTTTTATTACGTTATATACATAGAGGTAAGTGGTACAGTGAAATCTGTGAGCTAGAGGACAGATTTCAAGTTCACTTCTTTTGCAGTCATTGATTTGTCAACTAAAAAAAATCTGACTCAGCTGACTAGTGCAAAAAGCCAATGCCTTGGGATACAGATAATTTTAATACATTTTTATGCATCCTATACAACAGAGATTGAAAATGTAATTACTTGCTAGTATTTCAGAATATTGATTGCCTTTTCAAGCTATCTAATTTCTCAATAGCCAAGATTTAGTATCATACATCAATTATTTTTTATGGTTTGAAAAGTGATTGAAAATAATCGTTTGAGTCTATACTTGATGTTCTTTCAAGGAACAGCTGCACCCTTTGGGGGAAACTTGTTTTGTACAAATATTTGCATGAAGGCAGCAGCATCCTGTAGACATGAAATATTAAGCTATGTACATTGAGATAATCTTCATCTTTACACACGGAGAGCAGGATCTTGATTTTTAGCTCTATAGGCCATCTTGCAGTAGGAAATGTCTCTGCACTGTAATTTATATGGGAGCCATAGTGAGAAAATAAATATCGATGAATGTGATAAGTTTACTCTTCATACATCTTTCAGAAGTGTCTCTGTTGGTGCTCAGTCTTCTATTTTCAGTTTAAATTCCACTTTTCCTTCATACGGATCATGAACATTATCAAAGGTAATTCCAGCTCCAATGATTTTGCACACTATTTTAAATTCTACATTTCTTGTAATGTTGAGAAATTTCACAGCTACCAAGGGATTGCTGTAGCTGGGCTAGGAGAAGAAATTAAAAAAACAAATTAAAAAAAAAAAAAAAACAGAAAAATACTTAAATTTTACACTTACAGTTTAAAAATGAGGTCTTGGAAATAGCCTCTTCGGTTCTCATAGGATAGCAAAGATGCTCCACGTGTTTCACCTTACATAAATAGAAAAGTTAGATACAGGAGCACCCACCTGAGCCTTTTTCCCATAGTAGGGGAAGTAGTGCAGGTTGAAGGTGCCATTCACGGGGTAGTAATCCACCTCCAGCAGGCGAGACTCCTCACCCTGATTGTAAAACAAGAAAGGAAGAAGCTCTGTTGGTGAGGAAATCATTGGCCAGCCCAAGGCAAGGGTTTTAGGGCTGTTAAGTGTGTGTTAAAGCTCAAGTTCAGCAGGCTGTTTAGCACCAGCCTTATTTTTCAAGTAAAAGTGGGAATCTCCTGCTGTTAATATTGCCAAGAAAAGCAGGCAAGTGTCCTTTGGTAGCAGCTGGGAATTTGGTGAGTTGGACTTGCTGTGCTGAGGTGTGAACATCACTACAGGGAGCTGGAAGCAAACAGCAAATGTTCTCTGCAGCCTGAAAATGCAAATTTTCAGGTGATCTAAAATGAAGCAAACTTGGAGGTTTTTTTCCTTAGCATGTCAGCTGGTGCAAGAGCTTGCAAAGAACTGAGAATATTCCAAATATTTGGGATCTGATTTCCAGAGCTGCAGGGGTATTTTTTTTGGTCACCACTGCACTTTCTTGCTCTCAAAGCTGCAGCGCTTGAAACATGTGAGACCCAGACCTCAAACCCTTACCACATATGTGCAGTTCACCCTTGGTGCAGTGCCATTGCCAGGGTAAAACTTGATGATCTGAAAAAGAAAACACATTTGGTCATCTTGGAAATTGTTTTGAGATAAAACCGGGCAATCAATTACTTGAGAGCTGAGCTTCAAAGGATGCTTAGTATGTTCTTGTGGAAGGCTTTCTCAAACAGCATCTCATTTATGTAGGTGAAAATCTGTAGTGGCTGGATATTTAGGAAACAGGACATGGCATTACCTGGGATGAGCACTGCTGATAGGCTCTAGCCTGGCCAGAGCAAGTAGCATTGCACCTCCTGCGAGTCCAGCTCATTTACCCACCCATACCACCTGTCCTTGCTGATGCCCAGGCAGCCAGCGGTCTCCTAAAGCTGTTAATTGTGTGTCAGTAAAGGAAAAGCTGAATATCCATGCTTTTGATCTTATCCTTCTTAGAAAACCTTGGTTTTGGCAGAAAACCCCTTGGATTAGTTTGATCCTGCAGAGCTAGAGGGGGTTGCATCCTGTAGAGGCAAAAGGGAAAGGGGGTGAAGCCCCCTGGTCACCATTCACATCTTTTCCCTGCTGGGGATGGCACCCAGTCTTGCTAAAAGAAGGCATTTTTGGGGAAAAACTTGTTTCACCGGACAGAGGCAGGGGTGCAGCTCCCCTCCCGGTTAGGGCTTGCACAGATTTTTGGAAATACCTAAGGTGCAAGCCAAACAAAAAATGCAGTGTTTTTTTCTATCAGAAACTGGAGGGGAATTTGAGCCCTTCACTTTCTACCCAAACTGAATCAGAAGGCTCAAAATTTTACCCAAAACCAAATATAAAGTGCATATGCCTTTGTCTACATCCTGAAAAAAAAAAATTAAAACATTGAAAATTCCCTTTATTCCTTTCCAAAAAATGTATTGATGGTTTTCCCTGAGAAAAATATCCTCCAGATTTGAATTTTGGCTTTATAGGTTCTTCTAAATATTTTCTTTGCTGCCTGGAGAAATAAGTTATCACCTCTCTGAAAGCATATCAGTTATTGTCACACCCTGATGCCTCAGCTGAAGGCACAGGAATGTGGTATTGCAGGATGAAACTTTTGGTGCTAGTTTGTGGGATGAGATCCCTGCAGAGGCACTAACTGAGCTAAACTGAACTGAACTGAGGTATAGAGAGTCACTTCAGAGATCACTGCCCTTTATTACTTTTGTAGGAATGCTGAAAAAGTTTGGATTTCCCTGGTAACTCCAGAGGTTTGTCAGGAAAAAACACATGATTTTTGATTCTCAGTAGAAAGCAGAGTTTAGAGCCCACAGCAGCAAAGACACAGCAGCTCCCAGCAGAGAATCCAGCTACTCTTACTTTTTTTTTTGCTCAGCACCTTGAAATTGTACTTACCCTGTTCATTTTTATAATAAAACACGGTTTTCCTTCTGGAAATCCAAAAGTTGGGTCTGTGATGCCGGAGCAGTTTTGAAGCATGTCTGAGGTAAATTTGCAGGATAGTTTTGTTTTATTTGGGCCATCAAAGGTGTCCTGGATGAAGTATGTATTATTGGTGCAGTTGATGTTCAGATGCTGAGCAGCTGGTGTATATGCTAGATGTGTGAAGGAAGAAAGACAAAAAAAAACAACCCTCTGAAGCTTTTCATATGCAAATTATACATCCCAACATCAGGCCAGAGATTCTATCATGGGAGACTGTACTTCAAGTGAAGTTGGGATTAGATGGAACAAGGAAAGTTTAAACTGTTTAGGGCTTTGGTTCAGTTTTGTTATGTTTTTATATTTTTAATATCCAACCAAAGCAAAAGAAAAGAGATTGAATTGAGTTAAGGCTGGCAGTTTGTGTTGATAGCTCCATATAAAGTCAATTTCAAATATAATTTTTCTCAATATGTGTGTGAGAAACATGAAGAATTATGATATTAAGGCTCAATAGGAATATAAACGTGCTAAGACATGAAGAGGCAATTGGAGCACATAACCTACTTTGAGTATTCCCTGGAGACACCATGCTTTATGAGATTTATTATGGCATTTTGATGTTTGTAGTCACAGACAAATTAATTAGATTAATTTAGATGAGACTAATTTTGAAGACCTATTGTCCTCTCTCTTCCATCAGACTTTCTATTGGTCTATTTTATTAAGACTGTTTAGGATTAAACAAAGTAAAAGCCCTGAAGCAGAGCCTGGATTTTAATAGATGTGTACATATGTTTGATTTATAGATTCATGAGATGATTTGCTCATCCCTTTCAGAAGATGCACTTTCCAATCAAAATCTGTGGTTTGGGAAGGGCAAATGTAAAATGGAAGCACTGACCTAAAGTCCTCAGACCTAGAATGGGAAATAGGGCAGCACCTTTTTCCAGTATTATGCAAGAAATTTAATTTTTACCTGTCAGAAAAGTGTGAAGAGTTGTCACTAAACCTTCCCAGGTTTTGTTGTCAGATACGTTGTAATAAATTTGTAGTCCTCTATCCCCATAAACATCAGGTCGTAAGGTTACACCTTCACAAGGGAGAAAACGGAAGACAGAGCAGAGGAGAGGTGCCAGGCACAGATTTGTTTATTTAAATTGACAGTAGCAATTATGCTGCATCAAGACTCATTTTAAGTGTGTAAGATTCTCCAGCCTTTTTTGGGGAGGATTTAACCATATACAGAAACCACCTCAGCTGTGAGTTGTTCAACCAAAACCCTAAAGCTTGTGCTGCTGCCGAATTATTTTCTTTTCACATCTATCCATGCTGTTACAAGAAGAGCTTGTAAAATCATTCCAGCAATTGCACTGGATTTCCCCAGGACTTGTTAGCAATAACAGTCACGTCGGGTTAAAGAAACAGATCATACGGCAGCACGAGAAACAACTTTTGAAAAAGCCACACATAATATGTCACAGGAATTGTTTTCCCAGCAAACACCAAACTTGCTGAATACTGGGAGTGGAAACTTCAAAATAAAAAAAGTATCTGACAGAATAATTTTTAGGGCTATTTTTTTTTTCCCCCTCCCATTTTGGAAACAAGCTATTGGAGTGTGAAGTTTTATCAGTGTACTTATCTGAGGGTCTCTGATCATCTCCCCTATTTCTTTTCATGTCCCACAAATCTGTATTCCTGTATTTGTCTTATTTTTACTTCCTTGACTACTGGCACTGCACATCCTGCTGACAAGGATCTGCTCTCCCAGGGACTTTCCATGGTGCTGGGCAAGCATGGAAATACCCACCCCAGGCTGTTCACCCCATCACCTCTACATCTTGCTGGGCACCCCAAAGCCCTCTGGTGCTTGGGGATTTGGAGTAGAACCTAGGACTTCCCCAGGGACTGACCCCTGCCCATGGGGAGAGAAGGTGACCTGCTACAGGCAGAGACTGGTCACCCGAAGAGCAAGATGAATAAATGAATATATATATAATTCATATTATGTATTCATAAATATATTGATATATAGGTATATTAATGTATCAATACATAAATAAATGTGCCAGATTTTTTTTTTAAAGCCTGAAAGTGTTTTAAGGCAGAGGTTAAACTTTGCAGGGATTGTCTGGGCAGATTTGTTCCACGTTGGTCTCCCCACAGCCCTGGGCTCTGCCAATGCCTCTCAGCCCAGGGCAGCCCCACGCAGCTGCTATGGGACCCTGGCAGTACCTGGGGATTTCAGCTGGTCTTGGTAATCCGGCTCGTACGGATTAATCGTCCTCATTAAACAATAAATGGAAAGTGCAAACAGCCCCGACATCACCACGTAGAAAGCCAGGTAGTAGAGGCTGATCCACACTGTGGAAAAGAATAAGGGCAGAATTTCAAATTTTGAGCAAGGCTGTGCAGTGCTCTCTCTGAAGCCAGGATGATCCTGGCAGCAGCAGCTATCTCCTTTCCACCCTTGTCCCCTGGGAAGTTCTCCCTTTAAAGGGACAGGTGCTTTGGACCATTTTCTCTACACTCAAAAAATATTCTTAGAGAAAAAAATTGTATAGTTCTACAAGGATTTTTGAAGGAGTTAGTGCTGAGCTCAGATTATTTGAAGTTCAAAGGTTATGTGGCATCTTGAAGTAATTTCACATACTAAGACCATTTATCTACTTATTACACGTGGGCTAAGTGACAGATGATGAGGTATTTCTTTGACAAACCCACATTGCTCCTTGTGTTATTTGGATGACAGATGACGGTACTTCAGGCATTTTGGTTTTAGACCCGTGTCATTTCACTGCCTTGCACAGCTGAAATCATCAACAGCAAAATGTGCCATCTTGCTACTTAATTCAGCTGTGAGATAATAAAAGATTATTGGTGTGTTTTTGTCTGTATGTTCATAAGGTGCCTTACACATGACTGGTGCTGTACAGGCAGCCAGTGGTTGTTTTGGAGGGGTGCTATTAGAAACCTCTACTTGTAGTCACAGGTGCCTTGTAGCACCTTCTTCTCTACCAGCTTGAAAGGCTCACATTTCAATTGCATTGTCTGTAAAATTCTGGTTTAGGAGCAGCCAATAAACTACATGCACAGGCAGGAAAAAATCACCTGGAAACTTGCAGCTACTCCTACAGTCTGTGGGAAGAGTATGGATAGTCCTTACAACGGTCCTGGCTGCTCTTCCCAGAATGTAGATCATAATACAGATCATCATTGTAGACACAAGTTTGACTGTAGGAAGGGAGGCTCAGCTGAAATACTTGCTTTTGTAAAATACATGCTGGTGTGAAATACCTGCTGGTATATATTGGTATAAAATACATGCTAGCACGCAATGATAAGATACAAGATCTACTGAGCAGACAATAATTCAGAAAGGAATTTCAGAAAAATGAAACTTGTTTCCAAAGATTTGGACAAATTCACCAATTAAGCAAATTTCTCCATGTACCTGAACCCCCTTTTAATTAGCAATGTCAAAACCACACTATAACCATCACCCCTAGCTATTAATAAGTTTCCTGTTCATGTGTAAATTTTTCTCCTTTTGAGGTATTTGGTTGAAAACCGCTTTGAAGTCATGCATTTGCAGGAACTACATGGATAAGTGTTTTGATCTACTTGATCCAGCTCATAGAGCTGCCCAAAAAGTGGCTTAGAAGCACATATGAAAACTTCTGGCTTCAACATACCTACAGTGTGTCCCACTCATTAGGACAACACTTTCCCCCACACAGTTTTTAAGTCTGCCAGAAGGAAGAGAAGGCTCTTGCAGGTGAACACCTACCCCAGTTAATTAGGGACCTTCCCATGAAGAGCTTTGTTTCTGGATTCCAGACGAAACGACGGAAATCTGCCATGCGTTCGCTGCAGGTCTTCTTTTCATTTAAAGTTGCCATTTTCTCAGAAAAGTTCCCAAAAACGTGTCCTCCTTGGAAACTAAGGAATTCAACTGCTGCCCAGACAGTCGACCAAGAAAAAGACTTTGGGTTTTATACCTTCTTCTCCACTGAAGGTCACTGAGATTGCTTCCTGCGCCAATGAAAGCCCCTGCTCACCACTATCAACCTTTATAGAGGGTGTTGATAAGGCTGGCAAGGGAAAGTTTGTTCCTATCAAATGCCCTTCTCCTTTCTCTTGACTGCCTTAGCAGGTCAGCAGAGTTACGCATTTTGCCCAGAGCCCGTAGTGTTTGCGACAGACTCTGTGTGATAGCTGTTATCAGAGCAGATAAAGCAACAGAGAACTTGTTTCTCTCTGGGCTTTCTTTTTTTACCTTTTATTCCAAGTAACCTGCAAGTAGTAGATACAGTTCTCCTACTCCAATGTGTAGCCATTTGTTGGGAAATAGGCTATTGCAGGGTGGATGGTTAGACTATAAGTAATTGCTTTTTAAATATGCAAGTACTTTTGGAAACTGTTTGCAAGCAGATGGAAGGCAAGAAGGTGGTTGGGATTTACTAAGGGTGCACCACATCTGCCACAAGTGGACTGGTTGGCAAACATGGAGGATTTCCATTTCCACATCACCCAGTTAGACATCTGCAGAGCTGGTGGGAAGCTGTGCTTTGGCTTGGAAAGACCAAGGAATAGATGGCAGCTGTATGACAGCTGGGACTCAGCATGTGGGCATCCAGCTTCAACCAGTGGTGTCCCTGAGGGGCCAGTACTGCTACTGGGACACAGCCCAACTCAGTCAAGCCAGACTCATAGAATCACAGAATGGTTTAGTGGGAAGAGACCATAAAGATTACCTAGTTCCACCCCACCTTGCCAAGTTCAGGGACACTTTCCACTAGACCAGATTGCTCAGAGATCCATTAAACCTGGCCTTGAACACTTACAGGGATGGGACACCTTCTCTGGGCAATCAGTTTCATTGTCTCACCACCTTCACAGCAAATAATTTCTTCCTAACATCTGATCTACACCTGCTCTCCTTCAGCTTAAGGCCATTATCTGAGCATGCAATAGGTCTCTCCTGTTTCATATCACAAAAAACCCTGATGGGCTGCCCTCCCCTCTTCCAAAACCCAGACCTGGGAATGCATGCAAAAATATTCATTATGTCTTCAGTGAGATCCAAGTGGCAGCATGAAGGGCTCAGAGGGGACACTGGTCTGTGTGCTGCATGCTGTGAATGTGGACAGCCTGCTCCCAAGCCGTGTCACCTTCATGGACTTGTCCCCTGTCCCTCTGTTTTGCAGCAACAGAGACCGTGAAGAGAGAAGGGCAGAGCATCAAGAGCAGAACGCATCCATGTGCAGCTGTGACAAATCTGGGATTATCTTGGAAAGTTTGCACATGAGTGAGAATGAATGCTGCCTGCCTGAAGTGGTTTATCAAGGTAGGATGGAGCAATTGCTATTCTGTAGGCTCTGTTGAAGGGCTCCTGGACACTGCAGTAATTTGTAAGGACACTTGTTACTGACCAGTGGGCAACTCTTCATGGCCCCACAGAAGGACTGGTCTAAGCTCATTCTTGATTTATAGTCCATTAGGATTCACCCAGTGTCCCCTTTCCTCATCCGCCCCTACAGGGCTGCCCGTCAGTGTCCATCCCTGCCACACTGCCTTGGCATTGTGGCCACTGCAGCCATCCCATTGCAGTGCCAGTCCCTTGACCCAGAGACTTTTGTTGTGTTCAGTGTACCCCAAACTGCTCGAAGAGGGACTAATATTTGCTTTCCTTGGCCAGATTTTAATGCCTGCACCACTGACCTTGAGCTGGCCACTGAAGGGAAGGACAGCTGAGAGGGAAGGTCACACAGGAGAGAGGGAAGGTTGCTCAGGAACACGGAGTGGCACAAGGCTGCAGGTGAGGCTGTGGCCTGGCTTCCCCCCTGCACAGTCCAGCCATGGTGGTGGGCAGGGCTAGGCAGGATCCATTGCACTTTTTCTCTCTTGCTGACCAAGGCACCAGCAAGACAAAGCCTGGGCTCGGGGAGACCAAGAGGCTCCAAAAGAAACCAATGGAGAATATGTTTGCAAGGTCCCAGTCAGCACTGGGTGAACTTGGAGCACTTCAAGCTGGTATGGTGTGTAAGGAGCCTGGGATAAAGCCAGGCCTGGTGTGCCACTGGAGTGTTTGTGACCAGAGCCAGCTGAATGATATGTACAAACAGGGGGGTGAAGCCCCTTCCTCTTTCCATGGTTTGCATAATTAGCAGCTTGAGCAATGAGCTTGAAGGCCACTTTTGCAGCACTGTGCCTAAAAGGTTAGATCCAGGTTGAGACATTATCCCTTGGAGATGTTGTCCTGAGCAGACCTGTGTGCCAGCACTCCCTGGCACACCAGGCCTGGCTTTATCCCAGGCTCCTTACACTCCATACCAGCTTGAACTGCTCTAAGTTCACCCAGCGCTGACTGGGAACTCGGTGTCAATGTTAATAAAACATTAACTTTGTTTACTCATGATAAGGGCATTTACAGATTCCTCCCTCCTGTGGGGGCTGAGCAGGAGGTGGTGGTGGTGGTGGGGAATGCCAGGAGGGACAGGTCACTGCCTGAAGCCTCACTGGAGTACTGCCAGCACTGTGGTGGGGGTCAGCCTGCTGGGTGGTTCCATGATGCTGCCTCTCCAAGCACCATGATTTCAGCCTGTCTCCCGAGGGAGGTGCTCACCCCAGGATGCCTTGGCAACTCCCCAGTGTGCAGCACGGACTGCATGGAGGAGAATCCATCCTGGTATAGCAAGATGTGGGGGAAGATCCCATGGACTTCCTCCCTCTTGTACCTGGGGGTTGTACACTAGGCTGGCATTGGAAGTTCATCTTCCTTCCTTGGTAGAAATGAGGTTTATGCCTTTGCCTTTGGCCCATGAATGTCTACTGTATTAAAAAGTCAGAAGGTGACTGGACATGTCAGGCTTTCTCTGCCTTTCTCATGGAGAGGGCAAAAATTTCTCCTGAAAGTTTTCTGAAATAAAAAATTTCACATGTAAGAGAATCCCAGTCCCTCAGATGATGTGCCACAGTGAAAGAACACTCTTTGCATCCAGCTTTCTATCTAGTTTCAGAGTTTGAGATGTGATTTTTTTTTGTGTGTGTTATGTTTTTTTCCTTCGATGCATTGTGTTTCACTAATAATTCCTCTCATTTACATCTCTCCTGTGTTTTGCAGTTTGACAGAAGAAAACACACTGGCATTTTTTAAAGCTAGGGAGCACAGTTATTCTGTGTTTGAAATAAAGACATCTGATCTGCAGCCTGAGCAATTCAGAGAAGCAAAACAGGGGAAACATCTTGGAGCTGAACTGAACCGATGCTCCCACTGTTTTCAGCCTCAGGAAAAGCAATAAGAGCAAGGAAGGGTATTGGCAATTGTGCTGTGCTGGGTTTATGATAACACAGCATGATCAGGCAGCGGAAAAGGCAAAGCAGCCTCTCTTCAGGCTTGGCTGGTCTCTGCTTTTCTGTCCTGCTTGTTTGTCAAGGGCTGCAGACCCCACCATGAGCCTAGTCGGATCCCTCTACACCCCCTCTGCCTCCTGGGAATCCAAAGGAAATTACTGCTGTGAAAAACTGCTGAACTGAATGCAAAAATAAACTTAGTGAAGCCCAGTGGTGTTTCTTTCAGACATGGTTTAGTGCCAAAGCCTGCTGTTTTGGGGCAACTTACTACTGCTTGTGGTGTCTTTCAGATGATAGCAAATGACAGGGTCCTTGGGAACATTAAATATCCCATGGGACATCTCCAGCAGTTCTGACCTCATCCTCTTCCTCTGAAGGGGTATCTATCTGCACAGGCTATCACAGGCCATAGAGTTTCAGGTGGTGAAAATAAGCCACGTGTCCAACTGAATGCCCATCTGCAAAGCTGCACCCTAGCTCTCATTACACTCAAAATCTTGTTTGTGGACAAAAGCGATGCTCATCAAGTAAAGGCAAGAATTTATTGATACCATAAATGAACTTTTAAGGGTCTAATCATTATTACTTCAAATCTAGCTGTTACAGGAAAGAATAACACAGTAAAAGCCATACACAGATTTTCAGCATCTGCACTTTCTTCTTGATTTTGCATTCCCCCATCCACTGCTTCTTGGAGTCCTAAGGTGGTGGGGCATTGTAGGTGGCAGGGACAGTCAGAGACATCCCTCAAGTGGCTCAGCCTTCAAACCTGGGCTTCTCCCAGCCTTACCTCACCATGGCTGTTGTGGCACGGTCACCCTGTGAGATATTGCTCCCCTCTACCTTTTGCTCCTTCCTTTATGCCTCCCTGCTTCAAAGACTGTTGAGATACTGCTTAGCCAAGCTATTAATAATTTATTAACTCTTCAGTCTTCCTAAGACAGTTACCTTAAACTCTGTTACTGACGTTTTCTTTTGAACTCCTCCCAGTTTGTCAGTGCTTTGGGGGTAATCAGGTCTCCAAAACTGAATGGTGTTCAAGATGTGGCCTCACCGACCTCAAATCCTCTAAAATCCATGGCAATGTTCGCACTGGCTTAAGTTTGCTTTGAGATCTGGCCTGAAGGAAGTACTGCTTTGTCAGCTTGGTAGCATGATGTCTCAGCATGAGCCACCCAAAATTACATATGGATTTTTCTTTTTTGACACAGCCCTATTAAGTTGCAAATTCACGTGTGTTTCGAGTATGTAACCTGGTGTCAGCCGAAGCGGACACTCACTGACCGTGGTGGAGCCTTGCCAGACCCCGGTGAGAAGATGACTGGGTTTTTTTGTCACAAATTCAGAACCTGGTCCCCAGCAGCCACTGAAAGCTCTTGTCCTGCCCAACACCACAGGGAGCCTGACTAAGGCAAGGACGCCTGGAGCTGTCAGGGTTTGGCTGCACACAGCAGGTTTGCAAAGCCTTTGGCTGTGTTGGTTTGGACCTTAACTCTGCATCAGACTGTGCAGCTCCAACCAGGTGAGAAATCAATACCAGGGAAAAGCATTGTCTCAAGCTGTGGGTGTTAAAATGCTGCTGGGAAAATCTGCTTTTACAGATGCCCCTCCTCATTGAAAATTTCCTTCAAATATGCATGGCTGATTCCCCCAGTGATGTCAGTCTGATTAAGATCATATTTGTTATGAGCTAAATCCCCCATAGGCCTTATTTCCCCTACAGACAACAATCAAATCAATCAATTAATCAATCAATCAATCAATCAATCAATATTTAACAGAATTTTTTTTTAAAAAATATATATATACATACATATATATACATACATATATATATATATGGGCTGGAAAGTGTAGAATTATCTTCCAGTACAATCACAGTGGCTGTTCAGCTGTTAATGAGCTCACTTTAGCATGCAGACATCCTTAGACATCTTTTTACACTCCTTGTCCCTCTGGAGCTGCTCAGCTGTCCTCCTGGCTTTGTTACAACAAACCAATACTCTTTTTATTGATGTGTTTCCTGTCACTGCATAAAAAGATGTTTGGTTGAATGAAGTCTTCTGAGCTATCAAAAAGCATATGGAATTGTGCTATGCTATAAAAATCTCATTTTTTCCCCAAAGACTCAACTCTCACCAGCTCTCACTATGGCAGGGCTGACAGTGGGGCTGTGTTGTGCTGTCCTGCACCCAGACAAGCAGCAGCAGCAGCAGTGCTGACATGTGCAGCCACCACAGCATCCCTCTGGGGCTGCCCATGAGGATGGAGTGCAGGGGGATCAACCCCCAGCGTCCTCTGTGGTGACCTGCACATCACTGCACAGCTCTAGAGACCATGGCCAATCTCACTTTGCACATCCCTAGAACAGGCCATCATGTTAAGGGGCATTTTTAAATTATTTAAATGTCTAAATGATTCAGCAAAAACAATGCATTCAGTCAGGGGCAGAAATATCTACCTTATTCCAGTAAATGTTGGTAAGTGGGGGAAGATGATGGAGACTTTTCCGGATAGAGTGACTGTAAGTGCTAAGAGCCTCAAGAGAAAAGGAACTGAGAGAAATGTGAGGACTAGGGCTGAGAACAAGAAGATTTTAGTATCAAATTATCTCTGTGTTGTACCTACTTGTACAGCCATTAAACCACCAGCCTAAGCTACACTGCCTTCTGAGAAAATCTTTAGCAACCTGGCATTGAAAAGGTACATGGTTAAAGATGAAATAGTTCTACTTTGGCTACTAAGATACAGGACTTAAAAAACTGAGTCTTCAGAGAGACAAGGTGAACAGTTTTAACAGAGATACTGTTAATTCAAATGGTGCCTGAATCAACTTTTCAAAGGAAGACCAGAAATTAGAAAAAATTATATAGAAATTATAGAAAAAATATGTAAAACTAAGTGTTTGTCTGAAACAGGTTAGGAGCATTTATGGTACTTTCATATTTAGCTGTCATCTTGCTGAGATTGGAACATCTAAGAATATGGCTATGCATTAGAATTTCTGTATCAGTACATCTTTATATTGATCTGAGTGCCTGGGATCAGCATCCATAATGGATAACAAAGCTTATGATCCCAAGGCACCCTTATGAAATACCACTATTTAGAATTTACTATTGCTATAAGCAGAAATTGTGGAGATACTTGTGAATGCCAGGCCTGGGTTTCAAAATATATTCCAGTTGTTATAAGAAACTTGTTCTGATCCTAAGCTATAATACTGGCTCAAAGATGTATGTTGCATTTATAAGTTGCTGTGAATATGTAGCTAGAATTTCCTTCCTAGAAATAAGTATTGATTGGAGGATTTGGCAGGGTGTGTGGCAAAGATCACCAACAAAACAATGAACCTGCTTCTGATATGACATGTGCAGCATTGCCAGAAAGCCAAACTTGAACCTGAAACCCTCAAGTGAAGAGACAAAACAACTGGTTCAGCCTTCAATCTACCCCAATGACTTCAAAGACCCTGTTTGAAACTCATGACACAGAGTTCAATAAAAATCCCACTGCCCCCACCACTCATCCTCCGCTCCTGCTGGGTAGGACTCTTCTTGCTGAGGGTATTCAGTGAAGTGAGAGACATTTGTGTAATGACAGTTCTCAGAAAACTGCTGTTATCAGGGGAAAAAAACAAACAAAGAGAAGGAAAGGGAGAAATCACAGTTCATTGGGGT